ATACATCTACATCTGTATTTTTCATCCATATGCACGTATTCCTATCTATATATCTATCTGCATTTATCAACTTGTATACTCTTATCTCCCTGCCTCCTCCAGTACTCTCACTCTTTATTTCAACTTTCACTCCTCGCTCGTTCTCTCATACCCCGGTGTACTCCCAGAGGAACGTACTTAAACTCATCCCCGATTCTACATTGAGAGTACAAGCAGGTACTTTCTGTTTATCTACGGTTATATAGTCTTTTTTATTACTATATAATCTCAGTTCAAATTTTCCGCATTGTCGTGTTTAATTAACGTAATTGATATATATGTATGTATATATATATATATATATATATATATATATATATATATATATATATATATACATATATATATATATATATGTGTGTGTGTGTGTGTGTGTGTGTGTGTGTGTGTGTGTGTGTGTGTGTGTCAAAGGGCCACCGATATATTATCTGAAATGTTATTGCTACATTTTTTATCGGTGAAAAAGAAAAGTTTCTCCGTTACCTTATGATGAAATTAATACACGATCTGAAATATCGTCGACATCAGTGGTTCAATTTATGTCTATTCTTCGTGTATTTCGCTTTATTTCATCTTCCCGCATTTAGTTGACATTTCCCTAACCTTCATGTGTGACCATAAACCTCCCAGCTCTCATAAAGTTCTGCTTTTTATGACAATACCGCCTTTAGTCATATTGAGTACCTTTTTTTTCTTCTTTTCTTTTCTTCTCTTCTTTCATCATCATTCTCTTCTTCGTCTGCGCTACTTGTCGTATGACATTTGCTTTTATTCCTTTTTCTTTCAACTCTAATACAAGTATTTTTTTTCCTAGTATGTTTAAAATATGAATATCTCTAGTAACGGTGCCACGCATTTATATCACGACCATAACTACCATTGTAACAACACCTATACAACACAAATACTGAAAAAATAATGATATTACAACCACAACTACCACTATTTCATCGCTGACCCATCCTTTCATTGCTCAGTTGTTACTTTTCCCACTGCGACGAACACAACCACCACTTTACCACTACTACTGCCCTTCCGTCATTCTTATTACCACAACTACCACCAATCTACTGCTCCACTACCACTATTCCAACCATCTGACGCTGCTAGAATTCCGCCCGTTTGCTTCCCACACCGGGCACGCCTCCGTCGAACCGGTTTTGGGCCAAGCGCTGCCCAAGATGGTACGGTCACCCTGTGCCACCTCTAACCTGCGTTCGTGTGCGTTTTTTTCTTTTTTTTTTGGGGGGGGGGATGCTGTGGGTGGGTCGTCCTCCCTCTCCTCTACCTCCACCTTCCCCTATCCTAATCTCTGACTTTTTTCTCGATTTATCTCTCTCTCTCTCTCTCTCTCTCTCTCTCTCTCTCTCTCTCTCTCTCTCTCTCTCTCTCTCTCTCTCTCTCTGTCTCTCTCTCTCTTCACTACTGTCTCTCTCTCTCTTCACTAATCTCACCATCTCTTTCTCTCACTTTCACTCTCACTCTCTCACTCACTCACTCTCACTCTCTTTCATTCTCACCTCCTCTCCTCCAACCCATTTTCCTTCACTCCACCTAACCCATCCAGCCACCCACCCACTCTCCCCCTCCCCATCCGACCCTATTCCTCCCTCCTTCCAACCCCTTTCAATCCCCCCCTCCCATCCACTACTCCCTCCCCTCCACTCATTCCTCCCTCCTTCCCCCTCGTACCCTCCCTCCTTCCCATCCATCCTCCTCCCTCCCTCCTTCCCTCCCTCCTTCCCCCTCGTACCCTCCCCCCTTCCCTACTCACACCCACCCTCCTTCCCCCTCGTACCCTCCCCCCTTCCCTACTCACACCCTCCCTCCTTCCCCCTCGTACCTACCCTCCTTCCCATCCAACCCCTCCCTCCCTTCCTCCCTCCCTCCCTCCCTCCCCTCCACCCATTCCTCCCTCCTTCCCCCTCGTACCCACCCTCCCTCCCTCCCTCCTTCCCCCTCGTACCTACCCTCCTTCAAATCCAATCCCTCCCTCCCTCCCTCCCTTCCTCCCTCCCTCCCTCCTTCCCCCTCGTACCTACCCTCCTTCCCTACTCACACCCTCCCTCCCTCCCTCCCTCCCTCCTTCCCCCTCGTACCTACCCTCCTTCCCATCCATCCCCCTCCCTCCCTTCCTCCCACCCTCCCTACATCTCCCCATCCCCTACCCCCATCCCCCGCCCCTCATACCCCCACCTCCAGGCACCTGACCGAAAGGGAAAGTGCCCAGCCAAAGCGGTTATTGTGACTGACCTTGTGATCTCTGAGCAGGGAACAGACCTTTTGCATGGGGCGTTTCTCGGGCTGAAGATCGTGATGGTGATGATGGTGATGATGGGGGTGGTGATGGTGATGATGGGGATGGGGAGAGTGATGGGGGTGGGGGTGGTGATGGTGATGATGGGGATGGTGAGGGTGATGGGGGTGGGGGTGGTGATGGTGATGGTGGTGAAGATGGGGGTGGTGATGGTGATCGTGGTGAAGATGGGGGTGGGGATGGTGATGATGGGGATAGAGGTGGTGATGATGGTGATGGTGATGATGGGAATGGGGATAGTGATGGTGATGATGGGGGTGGGGATGGTGATGGTGATGGTGGGGATAGTGGTGGGGGTGGGGATGCGGATGGTAATGATGGTGATTGTGATGAGGATGGTGATAGTGGTGATGGAGACGACGGGGATGTGGATAGGGATAGGTATTGATGGTGATGGGATGTACTGATGGTGATGATGGTGATGATGGTGATGATGGGAATGGGGATACTGATGGTGATGATGGTGATGATGGGAATGGGGATACTGATGGTGATGATGGGAATGGGGATACTGATGGTGATGATGGTGATGATGGTGATGGTGATGATGGTGATGATGGTGATGATGGGAATGGGGATACTGATGGTGATGATGGTGATGATGGTGATGATGGTGATGATGGTGATGATGGTGATGATGGTGATGATGGTGATGATGGGAATGGGGATACTGATGGTGATGATGGTGATGATGGGAATGGGGATACTGATGGTGATGATGGTGATGGTGATGATGGGGGTGGTGATGGTGATCGTGGTGAAGATAAGGGTGGGGATGGTGATGATGGTGATGATGGGAATGGGGATACTGATGGTGATGATGGTGATGATGGTGATGGTGATGATGGTGATGATGGTGATGGTGATGATGGTGATGATGGTGATGATGTTGATGATGGGGATGATGGCGATGGTGGTGATGGTGACTGTGATGGGATGGTGGTGGTGGTGAGGGTGAGAGTGATGATAGTGATGATGAGGGGGAGGTGAAGGATAACGATGGTGATACTACTACTGCTGCTAAGTCTGATGATAGTAATGATAACAAAAGTAGAATATTGATAATTACATCACTGTCATTATATTTAACATTATCATTATTGTTGTTATTATTGTTGCTATCAATATTAGTAACATAATGATAACGACAACAACAATAATAAAAGAATAATGATAATAGTAATAACAATTATACAGTATAATGATAATTATAGGAACAATAATGATAATGGTAACAATTACAGAGACAATAATAGTGATAATAGTAATAATAATGATAATTACAAAACAAACAAAAAAGCTTCATTAATGATACTAAATAACGATAATTATAACAATGAAGATAATAGCAAAAATAATGACAATAATAATGATAATAACAATATTGATTTCATTAGATATTACGCTTGGAACAATACCTGCCCACGCATTGTACTATGTAAATACCTGTTTGTATTAAAAGTAAAATTGACAGGATGACACCCTTGTTTTTTTTTCTCTTCTTTTCTTTTTTTATCGAATTGCAATCGTGAATTGTTTGCGATCCTTTGTTCGATGGACAAACAACATGACAAGTTTGCTTCCGGTGTTTACAGTGTCTGCTCCTACGAGTGGCAGGAAATTGTTGTTTACAATCGTAATGGTTTGATAAGGTTATAGTTATTCCGTAAGGCAATGGATAACGATAATGAACAATAAACGATGACGATAAAGGATGGTTAAAAGACGTAAGTTGTTGGAATGATAATGGAGAGTAATGGTTGATTAGGATTTAGGAAGAATATCCTGTGTCGAGTTTTTTGTTTTTGTTTTGTTTTGTTTATTTACTAACTGTCTTGTTTTCTTTAAATTTGGGGAAGAAGACTACGGTTGCGTATCAGTAATACTGTGACGGTGATTGTCTTTTTATAGCCATTAACGGTGACATATTTTGACAGTGGCCATCATTTACGGTTGTTCACGGTTGTAGTAATAGTGACAGTTGCTGACAGTGATAGTTGTTACCAGAGACAGTTGTTGGTAGGCAGTGACAGTTTCTGACAGTGACAGTTGTTTTACAATACATGATGGCTGTTGTACTCACAATGATAGTTGTTAACAGTTACAGAGACAGTTGTTGACAGTGACATTGGCAATTATTATTGTTTAACAGTTGTTGACAGTTGTAGAGGTGACATGGACAGTTGCTGAGAGTGAGTTGTAGACAGTGTCATATATTTTTCAGTTGATGACAGGTGTTGCAATGACAGAGATAGCAACTTCGCTCTCGAGTACAAATGTGATTCGCACATGCCGGGGAAGGTGTGGCTGGGCATCCTTGGCAGGAGAGTGTGCCAAGTTATCTAAATGTGTTTCAGATTCATTGATATCCGATGAATCATGGCCACAGCGAGATGAATTAATTGCAGCACATACACACGCCCATGTACAAACCATGCAACACACAAGCATACACACAAATGCACAAACACATACGACACACGTGCATTGCATGGTAACGAACAAAAAAATATATATATGTTACTCTGGCAATCCATCATTAATTTCTTAACTAAAATCTATAATGGTCACGTTTTTACGCTGGTGCTGATATTACGGGAATCAAGTCAAGGCCGCGCGCTAAACAGAACGTAGAACACAATACCTGTTCAGCATGAAGATCAATGTTCTCCCAGCGAAGCCAAAATTTCGTAAATCCATTTTGAGTATGCAGTTCGTAGTGGTAAACCGTGCCCACGATTGCACTGACAATACCGAGCACCAGTGCCACCCACGGTCCACGTGCCCGGGCGCTCTTGCCTTCGCCCCCCTCCCAGTTGGCACTCTGGTGGCCCTCTTTGTTGGCTCTCTTCTTTGTGTTTGTCACACCATTACTCTCGTGGACACTGAGGGCCGCGGCACTCCTCTTCTGCAGGAGCTTCTGGTAGGTCGGGAGGCAAGCGAGCGACGACGGGTCCACGCCACGCTTCTCGAGGCGCGCGAGGAACGTAGCAACGTGGTCCTTTCCCCCACACATC